CTGGGAGGGTGAGTGCTGTCGCCCGATGGAAAGATGGCAGGAGTCCCAGTAAGTTCCTTCTGTCCCAGATCACCCACGACCTTTTGCTAAGCACACACGTGCAAAAGTGTGCGTCCACTTGAACGAGTGGGACCAGAAACCACTTCTTTGTCTGCTTGTCTGTTTGAGTATCCCTATACTGCCTTTCTTAGAAAAATCACCATGGCTGACTGTATAAAACAACTGAAAAGCAACAATATCATAAATAGTAAAAACCATGGCTCAACCAACACTAAAAACCATGGTTCAAAACAAAGAAAACCACTAAAACAGTTTAATCAGTGAGATTTAAAAGCTATGCCTCACTCACATCTTTCCTAAAAGCAGAGAGTGGGTCCTACTCTGGCCCAGTCTAGGAGCAACTGGTTGGAGAAAGAGAGGGGACCAAAGAGAGGGGACCCGAAGGCTGCCAGCAAAGGGGTGTCAGTGTCAAGAAGGGAGAGCAACCCAGAGGCTCCAACCAAGCCCCAGGGCTGTGCGTCCCCTCCCTCGCCCCGGTCCCAGAGGCCCTGGCGCTGGTCTGCCAGGTCAAACCCTCTGCCTGCCTGCCTGCCTGCCTGCCTGCCTACCTGCCATGTGCTGCTCTGCTGATTCCTGGAAGGCAGACCCAGCTTTAAAACTGGGTGGTGGCCAGGGTGGCAGCTGCTGCTCCTGGGAGTTTCTGTCCCTCTGGCCTCCTCCCTGTCCTTGTCACTTGGCTGCCAGGGCAGAGGTGGACTCTGTGCCAGGAGGAGGAAGACTGAGGACTCACCTGTGGGGGCCTGTGGACAGGCCATGGAGAGGATCCTGCAGGGCTTTCGGCCAACAGAGGTTAGCGGTGGGGGTGGGGGACCAACGTCTTCACATAACACCCACCACACCCCAGAGGGAAGGGGTTTCCCGCAGGAGTTGCCTGGCGGGGGGGTGATGGAGGGCAGGTGGGACGGAAGGTGTGCATCTACCAGGTTTCATTCCGGCAGGTTGGCCTCCTCTTCTCCTCTCCCCCCCCCCAAAGCCCTTGCCTGGATGCTGTGGCCACATTGCATTTTCCCCTTTGATGGCACTGGGCTTTCATGGTGGGGGTTTGGATGATGTGTCCTCAGTGGGCTCCTTCTGCCCACCTCTCCCTTGCCCCCTTGCCCAAGCCCCTCTTGCTGCTCCACTGCCAGACGTAGGCTCTGACAGAGGAAGAAGCGCTCGGCTCCCCAAGCTGCCCTTCTCCTCCATCTGCTGACCATTGGGGCCCTCTCGTGTGTGTGCGTGTGTGCACGCGTGCATGCGTGTGTGTTTAGCGGGGGAGGGGTTTGGGGCTCCTGGTAATTAAAAATAGGTGTGCCTCCCTCCCTGCCAGAAGCCCAAATCCTGGCCATTTCACAGGCGCCTCCCTGCTCCTTGGCCACAGGGAGCTCCAGGGCTTCCCCAGGGGCTGAGAGCTGCCAGGGTGCCTGCCAGGGTGCCAGCACTTCCCTTGTCCACCTCCTTCCTTCCTTTACAGACCCCCTGAAAAAAGGCCCTCGGCAGTCTGTCCGGATGAGCATGGCCACAAATTCTCCGAGGACAACATTGTGCACTTCCTAGATCATTTGGACTTGTTCCCCCCGCTCCCCGGCCTCTGTGTAGCCACGGATGAGCAGGGGGATGGCCCCTTGCCTGCCTGGTGGCAGGGAACCCCCTGAGGGGCCACAGTCACCTGGGACGGTCCTTGTCGTGCCTTCTCAGTCCTGACCTGCAGATGGGTACACGGAGGGCACAGCGTAGAACAACCGAGTCTCCTAAAATCGCCTTTGTTTCCACATTGGGGGATGGGGGTGGTACCTTTACCACATACCATTGTGCCCCCCATCCCCTGACTCCCTTTCTGCTTCCCTGGAGGCTCCTGTTCCTTGCTCTCCTTTTCCTCTCGTGCAGTAAGTGGGTGTGGAGAGTGGCTTGTTCTATTCCTCTGACTTGGTCCGTCCTCCAAAGAGTCCCAAGGACCAGCCTGGCCAGCCCTGCAGAGAAAGGAGACTCAGAGGGGCTCCGCTTGGCAGCCATCCTGGAAAGAAAAGAGCAGGAGAGGGCAGGGGCCGGCCAAGGCAGCAGGTTGCCTCTCTGAGAGGCAGGCCGCGGGCCATGCCAGGCTCCTGCAGAGGGCCTCAAGGACGGAGCCTGGTAGGGCTGGACTCCTGGGGTGGCCGAGCCAGGCTTCCTGAACCAGGGCTGCCCCGTGTTCTCCTCCTGCGCCCAGGGAGGGAAGCCAGAAAGAGGCAAACCTGAGAGAGCTGGTGGGAATGGGGAGTCCCGTGCCTGCTCCTTTGCCAGGTCACACTCCTCCCACCCCCACATGCACACGTCTGGTGTAAGTCTTGGAAAAGGATTAGGCTCTGCATGGAATACAGCCTCAGGCAGGTGTGGCTGCCTCTAGAATCTGATCACCGTGGAAAAGAAAAGATTGCACAGAGCTGAAAAGATGTGGGAAAGGGCAGACAAAATGACCAGGGGCTGGAAGCTACTCCCCAGTGAGATGGTAGCTCCAAATGTGAGTTTAGGGGAAAAGGACAAGAAAAGAGAGTCTGAGGAGTAAAAGAAAAATCACATCTAACATGGAGGAAGTGCCTAGGAAGAAAAGGGTTCCCCTTCTTGCCGGCAGTAGAAGCTCGGAGGATGGGTGGGGGCAAGGCGGAGAGAGGTCCTGCAGCAAAGCTGGATGATGGGAGATCCAGGACAGAGACACGGAAGTACGACCCCCCCCCCCAGCCTCTAGTTAAGCCACCCGTAGGATTCCCTGCCCTGGGAGGAGGGCATCCTATTACCTTGTAGACACGAGCTCCACCCTTTGCTATTGACAGAGGAGAGGCGAGAGAACAGCAGCTTCACTGCTGCCTTCTGTCCCGGCTGAGAGGAAGATCACCTCCACCCTGTTTCTGATTGTTTTATTACGTTTAGCTGAGCTTTTTACAGAACGGTGGGCAGCAGGACAGCTTCTTGCATTCTCCACTCAGAGCTTCAGCCAGTCCAGTCCCATTCCCCAGAACATCACTTAGGCAGAAATAAAGACAACAGACAGACAGAAAATGGGCCCATGACGCTCCGGTGCCTGTGTGGCATGCAGGGATGAGGACCTCTCTCTGCACTCACCTGCACGCTACACCTGAGAGCAGCAGTCAAAGCAAATGTGGCACATGTCCTTCAGTTTTAAGCATGCTGAATCTTCATTGGGGCCTTTGCGGTCCATAGAGGGAGGGGCTCAAACCAACAGACCGAACATTCTCAGCATCCTCCCTGGAGTGCAGCTCTGGGAGGGGTTTGGAGGGATCCAGAAGAGTGAAGTCAGTTTTACGCTGGGGTCCAGTTTCAGTGGAGAGACCCCAGATCCCTTACCTGAGCCTTTGCCTCCTTTTGGGGATTTCCTGAAGGGGCTGTGCAGGATGCAGCGATGCTTTCTGTGCGAGCATTGCACCCTCCTGAGTGTGCCTGCCTTGGGCTGACCTCTCTTAAGGCTGACTCACATTCAGGAGTGCCAACCTGCTGGGCATCCAGGCCTGCTGACAAAGGTCCCATTGTGCACTGCACAAGGGGTTTATCTGAGAAGCCTGGGTCATGAGCGGGGTGGGGGTGGGGGCTGGCAGGGGAAGGAGCCATTTGCTCCTTGGGAGCAGGCTTTCTAGAAGGCTGGGCTGGATGGAGCCTGGCTGCCGTGAACCTTCGACCTAGAGGAAGCCAATGAAGATGGAGCGGCTGGGCCACCACTCCTAAGTGACCGGAGGGTGAGTACAGGAGACAGGGAGAAAGAGAATGGCAAGAGGTGCCCCCAAGCTCAGCCTCCCCCCCTCCCCCCCCGTTTACTGCCCACCAACCATGTCCACTCAGCAGAAAGCCCCGCTGAGGTCGAATGAACCCTCCCATCTCGACCCATAGTTTTCCTTCCAAGGACCAAAGGATGGCGAGTGCAAGAGCCAGTCTCCAATCCAGAAGGCAAGGGCCATTGTAGGCACCCACACGCTGCAGGCTCCTCCCCGCCCCCCCCCCCATCGTACAACCACTCCTGTGATTAGACACAGAACTAAACTTGCCAGCAATACAAGGCTGGGCAGGCAGAGGAGAGCCTGGAAGAGTTGGAAGGAGTGGGGGGCGGAATGGATTCAGCTGCCCTTCGCATATGCGAGAGGAAACCAGTAATTATAATATGAGATACTGTACCATGTTTCCCCGAAAGTAAGACAAGTTCTTATATTAATGTTTGCCCCAAAAAACACATTAGGGCTTATTTTCAGGGGATTTTTTCTTCCATGTAGAACAATCTACGTTGATTCAAATACAGTCCTGTCACCTTCTTCTGGTCGCTGCACAAAGGTGGAAGGTGGGGTTTCACTTACCCGGGGCTTATTTTGGGGGCACGGCTTATATTACGACCATCCTGAAAAATCATACTAGGGCTTACTTTCAGGTTAGGTCTTATTTTTGGGAAAACAGGATATTTTATGATGTGATGTGATACATAACAGTTAAAAGCTATCTGAGCATGTGTTGAGTGCTTTCCCCTTGTGAACGGGCAACTGTAAAGGGAGTGGACCTTCTTCCTCCAAGAGTCCTTGGCACAGCCGTCCTGTGCATCTTCCTCGTACCCCAGGGCTTCCCAACTTTGGTTCACCCAAAGGGGTTCTAGGACTGCAATTCCCAGAAGCCTCCACCACCAGCTGTGCTGGCCAGGGTTTCTGGGAGTTGCAGTCCAAGGACATCTGGGTTACCCAAGGTTGGGAAACACTGTTGTACACAATTAAGCCTTCCTAATTGCTTGCTGCCAAAGGATCATTTCTAAATGCACAGTTCTTGAAAACGGCAAACATTATGGCTTCTTATCATCCCACCACCAGGCACTAGTGCACACTTTTTGTCTGTGAGAAAGTGTGCCCTGTGCTACATGGAAAGCTTGGGGGGGGGAAAGAGAGGTGACCCATTTGTGTGACCTTTGTAGCCTTCAGGTGATGACCAGCCCTAGGATGATGACGCTTCCAGACCTTGCCTTCACCGCCATATCAAGCTCCCGGGTAGCAGAGAATGGCACCGGTGGCCCCATGGAAGAGACGTGCATCTTCAACGAGGAGTTCAAGTTCATCCTTCTGCCGGTCTCCTACGGGGCCGTCTGCGTGGTGGGGCTGCTCCTCAACTCCTGCTCCCTGTGGCTGTTTCTCTTCAGGATGAGGCCCTGGAATGCCACCACCACGTACATGTTCAACCTGGCCGTCTCCGACACCCTCTACGTCCTCTCCCTCCCCACGCTGGTCTACTACTATGCTGACCGCAACAACTGGCCGTTTGGCGAATGGCTGTGCAAGATTGTGCGCTTCCTTTTCTATGCCAACCTCTACAGCAGCATTCTCTTCCTCGCCTGCATCAGCATCCACCGTTACATTGGGATTTGCCACCCCATCCGTTCCCTCAGGTGGGTCAAAACCAGGCACGCTCGCTTGGTGTGCCTTGGCGTGTGGCTGGTGGTGACCCTCTGCCTCATCCCCAACCTGGTCTTTGTGACCATCAGTGTCAAGGGCAACAACACCCTCTGCCATGATACAACAAAACCTGAGGAGTTTGACCATTATGTCCACTATAGCTCAGCCGTGATGGCCCTTCTCTTTGGCATTCCCTTCCTGGTGGTCGTGGTGTGCTACTGCTTGATGGCTAAGCGGCTGTGGAGCCCGCAGCCTCTTGGGGGCTCCCGCCAGACTCTTCCCTCTTACAAGAGACGCTCCATCAAGATGATCCTGGTGGTGCTCTCGGTGTTCGCCATCAGCTTTGTGCCTTTCCACATTACACGGACCATCTACTATGCCTCTCGGCATCTCAAAGCCAGCTGTTACACACTCAACATTGTCAATGTCACCTACAAGATAACCCGGCCTTTAGCCAGCGCCAACAGCTGCATAGACCCTGTCCTGTACTTCTTGGCTGGTGACATGTACAGAGGGCGGCTGCATCGGGCTCTGTTCAAAATGCCTAAATCCAAGCAGGCATTGTCCACTTCGACAGTTGTGTCCCAATTTAGGGAGAGCAGTCTACCTGCTCAGAGAAGAAACAGCTTCTGCCTGAGAGGAATCAGCAGCCATGCCCAAAACAGTCGGGGAGAAAGCAGGTGATCAAAGGACCAGAATGGTTTTGATTGATGGTGAGACCCATGTCCCTTTGCAGATCAGGGCAGGCCGGCATGACTACACCATGCATCGTGTAATGGTTACTGATCAACTTGGAACAGCGAGACCCAAGGTCAAATCCCAGTTTAGATAGTGTCAGGGGGCCAAATCTACTTCACAAAGTTGTTTTCATAATAACTTTTTCAACACAACCTTTCAGCATGTGCAAGGAAAGGAGAACCCTGTACATTGTATGTTGGTGGTGCAAAGAAAGAAGTAAGGGAGGGGAAGAAGTGAGTGAGTGAGTGAGGGATTCTGGTAATATTTCCATATGACGGCTGCTGTTTTTGCTATAAGTTTTTTTCTGATGGAAAAAGCTTCCTATGCAACTATGAGAATATCACAGGAATCCCCTCCTTAGTGATAGAACTTGGAAGAGGAAAGTGTTGGTAAATTACAACAACTGAGGGGGGGGGGAACCACAAGACATCATGTTCTACAGAGATATGGACTACATATTTTATATTAACTGGAAAACATCATAGAGTTTCTTTGCCATATATATACACGCATAAATATGTACATGCATACACACCCACCCATCCACCCACACATGTGTGTGCACACAAACACACATACATAAAAGAAAATGCCAATCCAATGTGATTTCTCTTTCCTAAACAGCCTGCCTCCATTAGCTGCTGTTTTGTTTCACTGCTGTGATCCGTACTGTAGTAGGGAACGAGAATCATAGCAGAGCTTGAAATTTTACTTTTAGAACTTTTACCATTCAGAAAACCTCAGGCAGAATTGGCGCTAACTACATTGGTTGGGGGACTCTGGGTGATGTAATGCACAAGAGTAATTTTGCTAATTTCTGCTTCCTAATAAATAAAAATATATGAATATATGATTTTCCTATAGCTTTTTACTGAGGTGTAAGACACATTTAGTTTAGTAGGACATATATTTTAGTAAAGAGTTCAAAGGGTTGAGTTCTTCTAAGACATATGCGGCAGACTTAGTTCTTTGAAAAGAACATTATAATTTCCTTATCATTGTTTGAAACCTCTTTCCAGAAATGTAATATTCACAACTCTTAAGTTCAATCTTAGGGGGGGGGAGCAGATGTTTCTAATAATTTATACTACAGAAAGGTTTGACAGGCAGAGGCTAGCCTTCCTCCCTCAGGAGTTCCCTCTTGCTCCAGGTCATCAGGTGACTGGGACTGGCAGAGGTGGGCACAGACCGCGCAGAGAGGCTTCGTAGGACTGGTCTGTCTGGGTCAGAGGGCAGAGCCTCAGTGCTGCTGCCTGGGGCTGGCCCTGCTGTTTGCCATGGAGATGCAGCAGTAACACAAATGCGGGGGTTCTGAGCTGGAAGGCCTCCCAGCTTTGATGCCAAGGAGAGATGCCAGGCAGGGCCTGCATGTCTCTGTTGGGGAGGAGAGAAAGGGATATCTCTCTGGCCAGTTTTCCACTGTAAGGACTTCTGTTGCCTTGAAAACCTGGGACCGCATTTTGCAGGGCTTTTGAGGAGAGGGGCACAGCCCTCCCTTTTCTCTGGGTGCTTGCTGGAGCAATACAGGGGCCTGTGAAGAAGCCAGGGCTGAGGCTAGAGCATAACCCTCTTGCTGTGGGGGTGGGAGGTGTGGGGAAAGAACAGCAGGGCTGAGCAACCTTGAGGAGTTGGGCACAGTTGGGAAGGCAGAAGAGGGCACACCTGGTTCAGTGGCCAGCCAGTCAAAGAGCCACAGCCCTGTGGGGTCACCAAAGCCTCTTTGGTGCAAATGGTGTGGGCGGGTGGGGTAGGGAGGGGCAGGGGAACACATTCAGGGACCTGGGGGTTAGGAGGTCCCTCCACCAGCTCCACAGCCCCTGAGATGTTAGAGGCAAGGCTCCTGTGCTGGGGGGAGGCAGCTCCCCTCCACCTTTCACCCCACTCCTCCCGCTGAAGCCAAGGCCTGCCCCTGGATTAAGAGGAAAGCTGCCGCTGAAGGTGCCCATGGCCACAGAGACGGGCAAAACGTTAGGAAGAACAACCGTCAGAACAAAGAGCCAAAGAGCCCGGAAAACCCACAACAACCATTGGATCCCGGCCATGAAAGCCTTCACGAATACACTGAATTTTAAAGC